AAAAAAAAAAAGAAAACGTGGTACCAATATACCATGGAATGCTATGCAGCCATTAAAAAGAGCAGGATCATGTCTTTTGCAGGAACATGGATGCAGTTGGAGGCTATTATCCTCAGCAAATTAACACAGGAACAGAAAAACAAATACTGCATGTTATCACTTTTAAGTGAGAGCTAAATGATAAGAACTTACGAACACAAAGAAGGAAACAACAGACACTGGGGTCTACTTTAGCGGGGAGGGTGAAAGGAAGGAGAGGAACAGAAAAGATAACTATTGGGTACTGGGTTTAATACATGGGTAATGAAATAATATGTGCAACAAACTCCCACAACATGCGTTTACCTATGTAACAAGCCTTCACATGTACCCCCAAACCTAAAATAAAAGTTAAAAAAATGAAAAAAAAAAGTTAATGAAAATTAAAAAAACAAATAACTCAAAACTGAGAATATTTTTAAAAATAGAATAAAATGTAATAGACAAAAAAAAGTGTCTTCACTGTTGTAGAATCAAGTTCAAACTCTTTTTCTGTTTTTTCCTTTTTTTTTTAAGAGAGAAGATCTTGCTCTGTTGCCAAAGCTGGGGTGCAGTGACATGACCATAGCTCACTGCAGCCGTGAGCTTCTGGGCTCAAGCAATCCTCCTGCCCTAGGCTCCTGAGTAGCTAGGAAGACAGGTATGTGCCACCACACTTGGCTGGGTCTTTCTGTGTTGCCCAGGTTGGTCTTGAACTCCTGGCGTCAAGTGATCCTGTAATCTCAGCCTCCCAAAGTGCTGGGATTATACAGGTGTGAGCCACTGCATCTGGCTTTCAATCTTTCTGAATGAGAATACTCTAACTCTAGTAGGTATCTGCTCTGGGACTCAAAGATGCCATACTTATTCCTCTTTTCTGGTCTTGTCCATTTCCCTTGCCTGTAATGCCCTCATATTTCCAAATCTCACCCATGCTTTAGAGATAGACCAGGTACACAAAAGCTTTTTCAAATCACTCTTGTTCACATTGGTTGTCCCCTGCTCTTCTTCTTTATAGAACTTACTTTCCTGTTAGTTATGGGCCAGAAAATATTTTAGGCATTACAGTCTCTAGAAACTACTGAACTCTAGGGCTATAGTGAAAGTAGTCATGGATAATATAAACAAATAGGTATAGCTGTGTTCTAATACAATTTAATTTAAAAAAATAAGCTGGATTTAGCCAACAGGCCATAGTTTGTTGGCCCATGCTTTGCTGACCAAATGTATAAACTCGGGAAAAAATATAAAAAGCAATTGTTTGAAGGTTTTAGATAGCAAGCAAAGGCACACAGACATGACCCTGAAATAAAATGCACTGACTGAAATCAAAATTTATCTTGTGTGCTTGTCAAACATTATTCTGGGTGTTTCTGTAAGGGTATTTTTAGATGAGTTTAACATTTAAATTTTTAGTCTGAGTAAAGCAGATTGCTTACCTTAATGTGGGTGGGCCTCATACAATCAGTTGAAGGCTTGAGTAGAACAAAAGATTGAACCTCTCCTACATAAAGGGAAATTCTTCTTGCCTGACTGCCCTTGAGTTGGGACATCATTTTTTCCTGACTTTAGAGTCAAACTGAAACACTGCTTCTTCATGGATCTTGAGCCTGCTGGCATTTGGACTGGCACTACGCTATCAGTTCTCCAGATTCTAAGGCCTTTAAACTCAGACTAGGCCATCAGCTCTCCTGGGTCTCCAGCTTACCAACTGCAAATCTCAGGACTTGTTAGCCTCCATAATTGCCAATTCCTTATAATCAAGCACTTTCTCTTTCTTTCTCTCTCTCCATATATCTTCTATTGGTTCTGTTTTTCTGGAGAAATCCGACTAATATGCCTGGCTTTTCCCGGTGTGCGTTTATTAACACAGTGAAAAGAGTTCAAATAAGAAGTTGCAGCAATTACCAGCAATTTCATCATTTGCCTAGTGCTGGGTATACAGAGTTTGGAGTCTAGGTTCTTCCAGGTCAGATGGTCTGGGTTAACAAGGTGGGCTTTCCATTTAAACCACATAAGGATCCCACCTTAGGTATAAGGACTGTGAACCAGGACTAAGGGCAATACTCTAACAGCAAAACTGAAATAAACCTCTCCATAGAAAGGCTAAAACCAAAACTCCACAGGAACAATTGACCTGCCAGAATTTAACTGCTCTCAAGTCTTCAGAGGAAGATATGAATTTCTATAATGTGTCATTCACGGTGTCCACTATAAAACAAAAAATTAACAGACATGTGAAGAAGCAGAAAAATTTGACCCAGTATTAAGAGAAAAAACAGGTATTAAAAGACTCTCAAATGATCCAGGTATTGGATTTATAAACAATAACTTAAAACTAACTATAATAAGTATGGTAAACAATCTATAAGAGAAGCAAATAAAAATCATAGAACAATACAATGTATGAAATGAAAAATTCACTAGGTAGGATTATTAGCACATTAGACACTGCAGAAGATAGGGTCAATGTACTTGAAAACGGACCAATAGAAATTATCGAAACTGAAGTAAACAACAACAACAAAATGATGAAGACAGCCTCAATAACCAGAAGTCCCAGAGGGAAGGTAGAGAGAATAGGACAAAAAAAGTATTTGAAAAAATATTAGCTGAAAATTTTCTTAATATGAATTCAATAACTCAGATACATGAAGCTCAGGACCTCCAAGCAAGATAGACATCAGGAAATCTACAATAAGGTTTATCAAAGTAAAATTGCAGAAAATAAAACAAAATAAACCAAACAAAGAGAATATCTTAAAGAAGCCAAAGATAAAAATATTCAATATGTATAGGAGAATGACAACAAGAATGAAGGCTGAATTTACATCAGAAACAAAAGATGCCAAAGACAATGGAAAAAAAATCTTTAAAGTGCAAAAAGGGGGAAAAATTGATGAAGTAGAATTATACACATGCAACAGAAATATTCCTCAAAAGTGAAGGCATCATGAAGACATTTTCAGATAACCAAAAAGCTGAGAGATTTCATTACCAGCGGAATTGCACTGTTCCGCTGTGCAAAAGATATGCTAAAGGAGGCTGTCAGGCTTAAAGGAAATGATACCAAATGAAAATTCAGATCTGTTTAAAGGAATAAAGACAACCAGACATAGTAGATATAAAAAATCATTTTTCTTTCATTTCTTTAAATTATTGAAAAGTCAATACACTATTTAAAGTAAAAATAACACATGGTGGATTTTATAATATATGTAAAAGTAAAATATATGACAGAATAGTACAAAAGATGGAAAGTGGGAACAAATTTTTTAAAAATACCATAATGGTAGAATTAAACCCAACCATACCACAACTTAGATTAAATGCAAGTAAATGATACCATTTAAAACAACAGCTTGTCAGACTAGACGAAAAAGCAAGACCTGACAATATGCTATTTAAAATAGACTCACTTTAAGTATAAGACGGAGATTAAAAAGTAAAGGGTTGAGAAATGATGTACAATAGTCTCCTCCTTACCCATGGAAGACATGTTCCAAGACCCCCAGTGGATGCCTGAAAGTGTGGATAGTACTGAACCCTATATATACTTTTTTTTTTAATCCGAAAACTGAGACCGGTTACTAAGTGACCAACCAGCAGGTAGCCTATACAGTGCTGATACGCTGGTCATAGGGTGCTTCACATCCCGGGAAGGACACTATGAGATTTCATCATGCTATGCAGAGCACCATGCCATTTAAAATTTAACTGTTTATTTATGGAATCCTCCATTTAATATTTTTGAACCACTATTGGCCATGGGTAACTGAAACCATGAAAGGTGAAACTGCAGAAAGTGTATCACGTAAACACTAATTATAAGAAAACTGGAGTGGCAATATTCGTAATAATAAACAAAGTAGACTTCAAGATAAGGTGTATTACCAGAGATAAAGAAGATCATTTCATGTGACCTGAGTCCATGAGTAAGGTTAAAAAAAAAAAAAAAAAAAAAAACCATTTCATAATGATAATAGATTTCATTCATCCAGAAGATATAATATTCCTAAATGTGTATGTATCTAATCACAGAGTTTTGTAATACATGAAGCAAAACCATATGGAACTAAAGACAAAATTAGACAAATCCACAATCATAGTTGGAAATTTTAGTACCCTTGCTCACTAAAAAGTAGAAATGCAGACGAAAAAAAAAAGAGAATTTAGAAGACTTCAACAACTCTACTAACCAAATTGACCTAATTAAAGTTTATAGAACATTACACACAACTGCAGAGTTCACATTTGGGTATACAAGTAATCCTAGCTTTTGCATGGCACCATATTAAATAAAACCTGTGCATATTAAAACCTTTGCATGGTTCTGATATGAACAAGTTTCAGTTAAGATGGAACTGTGCAAAGCAAAGGTGTCTTTCTCTTTTTTTTTTTTTTCAGATGGAGTTTTGCTCTCGTTGCCCAAGGGGAGTGCAATGGCACAATCTTGGCTCACTGCAACCTCCGCCTCCTGGGTTCAAGTGATCCTCCTGCCTCAGCCTCCCAAGTAGCTGGGATTATAGTTATGTGCCACCATGCCCGGCTAATTTTGTATTTTTAGTAGAGCCAGGGTTTCTCCATGTGGGTCAGGCTGGTCTCAAACTCCCGACCTTAGGAGATCTGCCCACCTTGGCCTCCCAAGCTGCTGGGATTACAGGCGTGAGCCACCACGCCCGGCCCACAAAAGTTTATTTTAACAGAATATTCACAAAGATAAAACATATGGGGAGGGCCATAAAACAAGTCTGAAAAAATTCCAAAGGATTGAAATGGTATAGAGAATGTTATCTGGCCAAAACATAATTAAATTAGAAATTGATAACAATAAAGTATCTAGTAGATCTTCAAATATTTGGAAATTAAGCAATACACTTCTAAATCCCTGGATCAAAAAAACAGCATATATATAGCATCTAGCATAATGCAATCAAGAAATACTTGAAAAGACCCCTATGTTTGGGTTGAATATTTTGATTGGAGAAGATATGAGAGATCAAATAGGAAGTTCACCTTTACTCTTCACTACTGGAGCTACTCAGAAAAGCCCTAGCCCTAGAGAACATACTTTCCTCTACTGTTAATTTAAGTAAAAAGTATGTTTAGAAAGATGTTATGGAAATAACTGGCTATGGGTGCTGCCCAACAAGTAAAGTAGCAAGCGGATCCTTCGAAAAATCAAACGGCATGCTTCATTAAAAATTTTTCAAACACAGAGATGATTTTTGGAAGGTTGTAACTTTAAAAATGTTTAAATCCACTATTTTAATTGTTCTTTCAGCCAAATATTGCACATTTGAAAAATAACAGAACAGCTTCTCAAGAATTAAACTGATTTAGCTACAAAACACGGAATAAACACATACCTTAGCTGCATTGATAAAACATGTTTGTAATTGTCTACCCAAAAATAGAAAATTTTCTGCAGCTGATGGAAGCAATTCATTGTAAAATTCCTCTGCATCTTCTCCTGGCTCCAAGCCCACACAGCAATGGCTGAAATAAGAGCACAAGTTTGTGTTAATTAGAAGTTTACATAGAATGCTCAAGCTTCTAGAGACACTGTGCCTTATTGAGAATTTTTAGTATGCTTCTTTTATTGCCAAGCCAATAAAGAATTTTTGTCGAAAAATTAACAACTTCCTAGAAAAGTAAACAGTGGTATGGACCATGCAGGTACTTAGGTCTGGGATTTATATATCCTAAAAACCTACACATCAGCTCGTTCAGGAAATAAAAGACACATGGCTCACAATAAAGAGAAGCTAAGTTTTTGGTGAATTGTCTATGATCATTCTCAAAGCTATAGGATACCTTGAGAGTTTAATTTATGAAAGGCATTTGTGTTAACTAATACATTTTAGACATCCAATAGCTGAAAAATGCCCAGGTAGGATTTGTTTGCAAGGGATACATAAGCAAACCAAACACTAATTTCATGCCAATTTTACCTTCCAATAGATCCACTTTTTGCAAAATATTCACTTGCATATTCCTTATATCAGAAGGACAAACAGCAAAACCTAACTCTAGTAGGAACACTTTACAATATACATTAGAGGAGAGAAAGTCACTTAACATGTCAGAAATCTCAATAATAAAAGGTTTTTCTGTAAACTAACATTCAAAAGAGCCTCAAACTCAAGAATGGTCTCTATGTGTGTTCTCTAATGAACAAAATCTGCTGTTTGAGTCTTTTCAACAAAATGCATGGACACTAATAAGCAATAACAACTATGTATTGAGCATGTTAAAAATCTAAGTAATCAATGGCAGACTGGATAAAGAAAATGGTATATTTCTTTGGGGTGGTACATATACACCATGGAATACTATGCAGCCATAAAAAAGAACAACATCATGTCCTTTGCAGCAACATGGATGGAGCTGAAGGCCATTAACCTAAGTGAACTAACACAGAAACAGAAAGCCAAACACTGCATATTCTCACTTATAAGTGAGAACAAACACTGAGTATGCAATTTACTTATAAAACAAACCTCCACATGTACCCCTGAACCTAAGATAAAAGTTAAAAAAAAAAAACTAAGTGGCTAACATTTACATGTATCATTTTTTTTGTTGTTAGTTTATTTGCACCTGGGTTCCTAAAGTTAATGGGCTAATGCTTACATGTATCAGCTTTTCTTTTCTCTTTGGTTCCTAAAGTTAATTACTTAAGAGTATCTATTTTGATTGAAAGGCTTAACAAATGAAATTATGTTTGTGCATTCACAAACATGGGAATTTCTTAAGTCTTGTATTCTACCCATGAGCCTGGCTTAATTAATATCATCATAAACTAGCATATCTAATCAAACAAAAACATAAGTCTTTATTTACTTAAGAAAATCAATCTTGAAAATTAAAGTATGAAAAAGAACATGATATACATTTTTTTAACTGTTCTTTGTAACTGTATACTTTAAATTTGGCCTTTACCAAGTAACACAGTAGGATTAAGCAGCTTAGAAATCTAGCATCCAAGACAAACCCTTCCAGTGGGAATAGTTTACTAAACCCAAATGCCTTATTTAGGAAAAACAAAACAAGAAGGCTAGGATCCACTTAGTAAATACATCCTTTCAGTTACTTAATCAGGAAGTAGTTTAGGCACTAAGAACATCTGGTTTATTTTACTACCTCCTTTTAAAAAATGTTTATTTCTCTTCTATTGATTTCTAGCATGGCAGTAGATCAGGAAATTCTACTTCTAAATTTTATTGACAGTATTTGGGTTGCTTAATGAAATATACAGTTGATAGCTAAATTGATGTAGTGAAACGAATGTTTCTTTATCGGTTCTCCTATAGTACTTGCTTGCATACTTTCATTTTAGCACTGATTTCATTCTGCTTTGTATCATATACTTACATGACTGTCACCCAATCTCTATTTTAAGTTTCTCAAGTACAGAGCCAGTGCCTTAATTTCTTCACTTCTTTAAAACCTCCTTAGTCAATAAAGAGTATATTAGGCACTTGGAATTCAGTGGTGAGAAAAAAAATGATCACCATCTTCATTAAGCTTGTGGAGGAAAATTTTAGACAGTCAAACAATCTGAAGTAAAATTATGAATAACAACATATAATATGAAGGAAAAGTACAACCAAAACCTACAACAGGAGGTTGCCAATGTTTGTTAGGCAGATAAATAAAAAGCAAACGTTGAAAATCAGAATCAACTACTACATCCCTCAAGAACAAGCTGACTTACTGCTTCATTTTACCTTAATATCTGTGTAAGCTGGGAAATGGTAGTCCAACCACCCTGGATTCGAGAACAATCTTGACTGAGGACCAAGAGGCAATATTGAATGAGATCATAACAATATATATCTTGTTTGATTTTCTTCAACTCTGAGCTTCCTAAAGGTGTGATGTTTATTATTTCTAAGGCAAAAGGAAATAAGATATATTTAATTTTGTTTAATACACCCAGGAGCTATTTGTATTTTTATATGTTGAATAATCACTAAAAATGTATTAGAAGGAAAAATTACTGTTCTATTATAGTGTTAAGATTTCTCTGAACAAATTTAAAAGAAATGTTAAAATTGTACCAATGATGGAACCGTTTTTCACTTAAAATGATATCTAATCACAAAAAGATTTTCTTACCTTTTAACTTCAACAGTATAACAGGGACATTCTGCTCAGGGCTTTTTGCAACTTCAGCAGCTATAGATAAGATCCTTGGGTCTGTACCTGTTGGCTTCATTTCTCATATTACCTATATTTTAACAGAACAAGAGAATAAACGTTAAAAAGCCGTAAAATGTTCACTACCTAAATAATGTTTGAAATGTAATTTCAATATAAATAAAAACAGCTTTTCTTGCCTTGTTTGAGAAGCAGAATATAGATTTTTTCATTTCTTCCTTATAGAAAACTGGTTTTTCTAACCAGTGTAAAAGAGCTCAAGATTCCTATACCTCACATGTAACAGCTATAGCAGGTATTATTTATTGTGCACTCACTAAGAGTCAGGAACTGTGATAGGAGCTTCACATTCTCTGTCTAATCTGCACAATAATTCCAGGATAGGAATTAACTTCCTTTAATTGTACAAGAAAAACTGCAAAAAAGAGCTAACATGACAGGCCTAAGACTACTATCCTTTCAAAGGTGTGCTTACAAGGTTGGCCCTTGACTAGCATCTAGAACTTGGATTTCAGGAGGGTTTCTACCATTCTTTGATAAGAGTGGCTCCCTGTGCCTAAAACTGTTTATAAAAAATAATGTGGTTCATGCTGAATACCTGCTTTCCTTCCAGGAGTCTTAGAATTCTGGTATATGCCAGCCAAGAGTACCTATATAAAGGGTGCCTATGTGGCCATCCTCCAATAAAAATTCTGATCACTGAGTGTCTAGTTGAGCTTCCCTGGTAGACAACGCTTCAAACATGTTGTCACAGCTGGCTGCTGGAGGAATTAAGCATATCCTACGTAACTCCACTGGGAGAGAACTCAGAAGCTTGTACCTGATTTCCTCTGGATTTCACCCAATATGCTTTTTCCCTTTGCTGATTTTGCTTTATTTCCCTTCACTGTAATAAATCATAGCTGTAAGTACACTATATTCTGAGTCCTGTGAGCCCTCCTAGTGAAGCACTGACCTTCAACACACTAATGCTCAGAAATGTTACATAAATATAAGATAATCAGTGATTGCTTCTAAATAGTATAGTGAATAAGGCCAAGTGCAGTGGCTCATGCCTGTAATCCCAGCACTTTGGGAGGCCAAGGTGGGTGAATCACTTGCAGTCAGGAATTCAAGACCAGCCTGGCCAACATAGTGAAACCCCATCTCTATTAAGAATACAAAAATCAGGTGGGCATGGTGGTGCGTGCCTGTAATCCCAGTTACTCGGGAGGCTGAGGCAGGATAGTTTGAACCCAGGAGGCGGAGGATGCAGTGACCGGAGATCACATCACTGCACTCCAGCCTGAGCGACATAGCTAGACTCTGTCTCAAAATAATAATAATAAAAAATAAATAAATAGTATATTGAATAAAATCAATTCTCCTAACATTAAAAAACAAGGTCCACATCCTAATTGTTGCTAAAACTTTCTCTATGTAAAAAAGTTTAAGGCAGGAGAATCACTTGAGAATAGGTGTTTGAGACTAGCCTGGTCAACAAAGCAAGACTCTGTCTCTAAAAAAAAGTTTTAAAGCATTTGAAGCTCAAAAATATCCTCACATAATAAAAGTGTATTTCCTTATTTATAATAAAGCTAACATGTATCAAGTGTTTAATATAAGCTAAGCACTGTGTTAATATACTATACACTGTCTTATCTAATCCTCACAACAGGGCTATGAAGTAGAGCCCGTGATCATTTGATCATTTCCAAATGTACATATATACATATACATATATATGTTTTTGTCCACAGTTCCTGGTTCATAACTCCCATAGCCTTTGTTACAATATTGTTATGTTAGGGTGCTTTAGGCCTCAGAAAACAGAATCTATCTCTGACTTTCTCCTCTCCTCCTTTCACCTGCTCCTTCTCTCCAAAGCAGAACTCTAATCATCCCTGCCTTTCTCTGACCTATCTTGTCTAGTTGTAGGTCATAAGACCCCTGTTTCAGAATGGGTCTTGCCCTGTATCCTGGAAGGAGTGCTGCATAGAGAAGCCAAGAAGAATCTGAGCAGCCAGGCCTTGCTGGGTCTCCCACTCAGTCTATTAGTATTAGATCATATCTTTTTTTGTCCAATCACATTTCCAAAATGATTGTCCACACTTCAGTCATGCCTATCCAATGAAATCTCCATAAAAGGCTCAAGAGGATGGGGTACAAAGAACTTCTGCATAGCTGAACATATGGAAGTTCCTGGAGGAACCTCCTGGATATCACACCCAGGGAGGACATGGAAACTCTGTGCCCCTTCCCATACTTCACAGTATGCATCTCTGTATTTGTATCCTAATATCTTTTTGTTTTTTGAGACAGGATCTCACTCCTGTTGCCCAGGCTGGAGGGCAATGGTACAATTATGGCTTACTGCAGCCTTGACTTCTCGGGTTCAGGTGATTCTCCCACCTCAGCCTCAGTCCCAGTAGCTAGGACTATAAGTGCAAGCCATGACACTCAGCTAATTTTTTGTATTTTTAGTAGAGACAGGGTTTCTCCATGTTGCCCAGGGTCTCTGTAATATCTTTATAATAAACTGGAAAACATGTTTGCCTCAGTTATGTGAGCTCCCCGAGCAAATTAATACACCCCAAGGAGGGGGTGGTAGGATTCCCCATGTATAGCTGGTCAGTCAGAAGCACAGGTAAAACAACCCAGGGCTTGCGACTAGCATCAGAAGTGGGGGCCACTCTTGCGGGACTAAGCCCTAAACCTGAGGGATCTGACCCTATCTCCAAGTAGACAGTGTCAGAACTGAATTAGATGATACCCAGCTTGTGTCTGTTGCAGAATTGATTGCTTGCTTGTTAGTGGGAGAAATCTCCACACATTTGGTCACAGAAGTCTTTTGTGTTGTCATGATGTGAGAGCAAAAACTGTTTTTCCATTCATATATCTCTTATTAGGTACAATATAAATCATTAAAAGACAGGTTTGCTGAAAATACTTTAAAGAAAGCCCAGTGCAACTCCTGGCACATAGTAATCACAAAACTTTCAAAGAGAGTGCATATAGTTATCTCATTCTTTCCAAATGGCTGCATTATGCTACATTTCCTTTTCAAGAATGCAGCAAAATATATCTAAACATCACCTCTACTGGAGGTCACTCAAGCCGTATGCTATTACAAGCAACACTGCAATGAATATACACATTATCCTTTATATTTTTGCCAATCTATTACATGATAATTGGTATGATTGTGTTTTAATTTGTATTTCTTTGATTATTAGGGAGGTCAGCCACATTTCATGTTCACTGGCCATTATTTATGTATTTTCTATTCATATCCTTTGACTATATTTCTATTGGTTTCTCTTACTTTTTTGCAGAAGCTTTTCATATATGGATAGGAATCTTTTCTCTTTTATATTGGTTATAAAATTTTCTCCTTGGTTGTCATTTATTTTTTTAAATTTGACTATGGGGTCTTTACCATAATTTTACAATTTTTTTTTTTTTTTTTTTTTTTTGAGAGAGAGAGTCTCACTCTGTTTATCCTGGCTGCAGTGCAGTGGTGCAATCTCAGCTCTGTGCATCCTCCACCTTCCGGGTTCAAGTGATTGTCATGCCTCAGCCTCCCGAGTAGCTGGGATTACAGGCATGTGCCACCGTGCCCAGCTAATTTTTGTATTTTTAGTAGAGATGGGGTTTCACCATATTGGCCAGGCTGGTCTTGAACTCCTGACCTCAAGTGGTCTGCCCACTTCGGCCTCCCAAAGTGCTGGGATTACAGGCATGAGCTACAGCGCCCAGCCATTTTTACAATTTTTTACATACTGAAATAGAACAATCTTTTCCTTTATGGCGTCTGTCTTTTGTGTCATGTTTAGAACGGTCCTCTTTAACCCAAGAGGTAAAAAACATTCTCCAAATCTTCATGTTTTTCTGGTTTCGTTTTCCTTACATATCTTCGAAAGTAAGGTATTTTTGTGAATGGTGTCAATAAGAATCTGAATTTCTAATGTTAAAGTTATTGATGGATTAAAAAATGCACATAACAGTCCTAAACTCATAAGGTAACTAGTTATGAATAGACAACAAAAACAATCTGAAATGTCACATTTTCATGCACTAAGTATACATACACATACGCAGGGTATCTTTTTGGACTCTACTTAGTTTCTAGTAATTTAATCTGTTTGTCTATTCTTAAGCTAGTACAACATAGTTCATTTTAACATATGTTTGGATAAAATTCACCTCAGAAGGTAAGCTTCATGATGGCAACCTACCTATCCCTTAGAGATGATTAAATGAGTTAATACATGAAAGCAACTGGAACAATTCCTGGCACATAATAAGAGTTCTCCAAATGGTTATTATTAAAGCCCAGCTCTACCATCATACTACATTTAAGACCATCTTTGGTGGCTGCTTGGTTCACAACTATATTGTGATCTTTGGTTCACAACTATATTCCCAGTGGCTAGACTAGTACCTGGCATGTAGCAGGATTTACTAAACACCTGTTGAAAGAATGAGTAAATGCACAAACCTCAGGCATTCTGAGCCTCAATTTCTTGACTTTCTGTTTTTCTTTTGTTACAATACAGAAAGCTCAGATTTATGGTTGGAAGCCTCTCTAAAGTAAAACAGGCTCAAAACAGTTTGTGCCCTCCTGGCTACCATAATAAAACATCACTAAATCATTATTGTCATCAACAAACATGTTTAGAGCAGTATGGTAGATGTAGGGGACACAAAGATTCCACACAAGACATACTCTCTGCTATTGTTGCGGTTGGGAAAGAAAAGTATGTATATGTATGTGTGTACACACACACACATATTAAAAAATATACTTAAGAATATCAGATATATGATAAATGCTAAATAGATGACACAGATAAGAATACAGGCCATAAAGTCAGAGGACTGGGCTTCTCTGATCCACTTTTCTTGCTGTAAACAACATAGCAATTCCCACCTCCTAGAATGATTCTATTTAGAAGAGAAGGCAGCCACCAAGACGGTCTTAAAATGTAGCATTAAGTGTAGAGCTGGACCTTAAATAATAACCATTTGGAGACCTCTTGTTATGCTCCAGGAATTGTTCTAATTGCTTTCATGTATTAACTCATTTAATCATTCCAACAACTCTAAGGAACGGGTACTATTATTTTTTCCCCAGTTTGAACAATGAGCATACTTAAACTCTGGAGAATGTAATTAGGTGGCACAAAGTCACACTGTTAAGTATAAAGCAGGGGTTCAAACTGGAGCCACCATCTGGCTTAAAGCATTTAACTACGATATGAAACAGCTTCTAACTACGATATGAAACAGCTTCGGCACACCTTCAAAGGGTAGGATTTACACAGACAGGTTGAAGGAGACATAGTCACCTACCCAAAAATCAATTGACAAATGTGACTAAGGCAGAAAGTGAGGGAGTGCAGTTGGACTGCATAATTCCCCTGAAAAACCACCTGTTATGGAAACCATCCGTAAACTTTCTCTTGAGTGTTTCTCCTATAATTCAACACTTCTCCCATCTTTACATTAAATTCATGAAATTTGACACAAAAAGACAATTATTTATCTATTTTAATGCTACTACCCTGTTGCCAGGCCACTGGGGCCGGCCCAGCCTCTTGATTCTTCTGGAATCACTTCTCCCTCGCCGCGCCTGTTACTGCCTCCACGGATCACTGTGAGGAAAATAAATGAAAAGGAAATTCAGTGCGATCCGGTTGCGGCTGATCCTAAATGTCTGCAGTTCCTGTCTCCTAATCCTCTTTTTCCTCCCCACTACACATCCCCTTCTCTAGTCCTAAGACCACAAGAAACTTCCTCTGATACAAAAAGGTCAGAAAACGATTACTGAGGTAACAGCGTCGCTTCAGTCCAAGGACCGAGATTCTGGGGCCGTGGGGCCCCTTTACTCCAGATTCTAGACCCGGCTTTCGCGCTACCAGGCCTTGGACAAGACACTAGGCCCTGTGCCTGGACACTGCACCTCCCCAGGCCTCAGTTTCCACACCAGATCTCTACAGAGTGGGCGTGAGGGCAGGGCAATTCTCCCGTTAAGAGCTCTCACACGCCGGCTGACTTTGTCCAGAAGCCTGGGGTCCTGGCCTCCCGGTAGGCGCCCTGGGGCGCTCTCCCTCCCCAGCCACCACCTCAGATAAGTTACCTCATCCTCGCTTCGCGTTCTTCCACAAAAGAACCCGGCTCCCACGCCGCACCACAGCGCCGCGGCCTTCCCGGGACAGCCTGCGTCGCGACGCGGGAAGGGGCCTGGAGGCGGGACCAGGGGCCTCGGAGTCAAGGGGCGGAGCGCCCTTTGCCAATAAGCCAATCAGAAAGTGAGATGCTCACGGTGGGGCGGTGCGCGTCGGGCGCGGGGTGGAGTCTGTGGTGACTCGGCTGGCGGGATCAAGTGCAGCTGCTTCAGGCTGAGGTGGCAGATAGGGAGCACCGGCGGCGGAGTTAAAGTCAGAGCAGGAGAGTAATGATGAACAGCGCAGCGGGATTCTCACACCTAGATCGTCGCGAGCGGGTTCTCAAGTTAGGGGAGAGTTTCGAGAAGCAGCCGCGCTGCGCCTTCCACACTGTGCGCTGTGAGTGAGGACCGCCCAGGGATAGAGGGGGAGCCTCCCGGGGTGGGGGTAAAGAGGCACAAACCCCTCTGGGTTTTGTTCCCACAGTCCGCCTTACATTGTTGGAGACTACGGGGCGGGGAGTGGGGGAGGCAGCGCGATCCTCTACCCTACTCGGAGTCTTAGGGGGTCGGTGGAAGGAATCGGAGTAGAGCAAATGTGGGTAAACCCTGGACAGAGAGCGTTGAGACCAACAGACAGGAAGGGAAAGTGTGAAAAAAGTCTGTAGAGGTGACTGTGGAGACAGACGTGACAGGTGTATGATGCAAGGGTGGACACGAAGATAATAAGGTGACAAATGGGAAAGGACTAAGGACCGAATGCCGGGGAAGTTGAATGCCTTGAGGCTGGTGGGGCAATATCCTCTCTTTTCTTCACTTTTTCTCACCTCTGGCAGATGAGGGTTCTTATTTGGTGTGTTCTTTGCAAAGGGAGAAATTCTCAACCACCCCAATGATCTATATATCTCTTTAGACCCCAGATTTCACTCAGTTATCAAATACTGATTATCAAAGTATTCGAGGGTGTGTTATTAATTTCTTTATTTGAAAGATGCTTACCTCCCTATGATTTCTATCCTTTGGTTTTCTTTGTGTCCTCTGGAACTAGTTTTAATAAATTATTCTCTTTTATGTTGTTGGAGCAGAAAAAGGAGCTCTTTTGCTTTAACAGTTGGATGATATAGATTCCAGGAAGGAAAATATAGCATACAAGTTTTTATGTGTAAGACATTCGTTTTTTGCATAACAGCTGTCATAGAATGGTAGAGCGGGAAGGAAACTTCGAGATCACTGAATCATAACCTCTCATTTTTCTGTGGTAAAATTGTAAGTATTTTTTCACTTCCTTTCCTCAGCCTTGCCCTTCCTTAATATTTCATCATTCCGCCTTTCTCAGTCATTCTGCCCTCGGGTTGTTTAGAGACCTTTATGGTTTTTACTCTGAAATGTTCCACAGTTCAATCAAAACAACTAATTAAAACGTACATTCTCCCAAAAGTTTATTTAAGTTGTAGACAATTTAGTTACAGTTACTCAGAGTAAAGGTATGAAGAACCACTGGTTTTAATCCTGCAAGAACATATTTACTAAAAGGGTTTTTTAAAGCAAAAAATTAACATCCAATTGGTAGACTAAATGGGTGAGATATTTGTGAACAGAAAATCTTCAACAGTGTCCCTTGTTTATTCTTCTTTATCATATACTTTCTCATCCAGAGCTCCCCACAATGAGATAGTTAGTGCTGTGCTGGCTCTGCAGTTTCTCTCTCTCTTCAGTCCAATTTTCCAGAAGTGTGATATGCGTCTTTATCTGGTTTCTCCATGCCTTTTTCTCAAATAGTATCTACTCTCTCCTTTTCTCTTCCTTCTCTGGTACACAATAGTCTTAATATTAATTTTTCAAGTTACAAGGGCTTAAGATTATAAAAATTTGCTTAAGAATATATTTCTACATGATTTGGGTATATATTCTCTTATGTAAGGCAAACCCCAATTTAAATGAATACAAAATTACCTTTGAAAATAATCTTGCAGGTCCTTCAAAGCCTTTCATTTATAAAGGTTCTGAAAATGCCAGTATCTTGAAAGTCAGAGGATCAGATGATCCACCTACAAGAATGAAAATAAACAAAAATAAGCAAAACAACAATAATAATGACAAAAATAAATAAACAAATAAACCTAGATGTTTGAATACACACTTAGTTCTGTGGAAGACAGAACTATTAGAAAGGTTTTCAGTCCTTCTTTGCTTTTCTTTGTTGTTGTTAATGTTGTTGTTGAAGCAGGTGTAGTAATGGCACAGAATCATTTTAGATTTATTTAAATAAAACTGCTCATTATTCTTGAGGACAGGTTCATTTCCAATGTAATCCTCACTCTTAAGAACTCAGAGTGAGGGATGAAAACTGTAGAATAGTATGAAGCTGATGTTCATACACATAAGGTGGACCTAATTTATAACCAGCCCTCAAGCCAATGTCATTGGAGAGAAAGTAATATTCTGCCTTTATTTACAGGAGCAATTCTGCCTGTCTGATATAAGACTTCAGGCAAACCTGGATGTGAATCCTGGCCTCCACCACCTGACTTTGGGAACATTCTCTAAGCTCTCAACCTCAGTTTTCTTATGGCTAAATGATAATAGTAATATTTACATTTCATGTTTTTTGTAAAGATTAAATAAGGTAGCATAAACAACCTGGCACAATATTTGCCACAGGGTAGAGAATAAATAGTAGTCACCATTAATGTTGAAGAGTTACATTCATATGTGTTTGAGGGGTGCTAATGAATGTAATTTAGTCAGACTTTGAAACAGCATTTATCTGGGTTCACCAATAAAAACTATCAAAAAGATAGTCTGCCATGTGGTAGGAAGGGCATGGGATGTTCTATCAATGATAAGCTGAATCCTTAGCAACAGGTGTTTACTGGGTAGAAGAGTTTCAACAACAGGACCTACTAGAATCAATTTTGAATTGGGAGTAGTACTAGTTTTACTATTTATATCCAGATAAGGGAATGAATTGTGAAATCCTAAGTTTGTAAATGACACCACTATTTTGTGTCCTTAAATGATGAGCTAATGAGCAGTGTGGGTTTTGGAGTTGGTTGAATTCATTCAAATCCCAGAAAATAAACTGATGATAATAATTGTGGATTCTTATGAAAATATTGACATTATGTGATGCCACAGTCAAAATGATCAGAAAAGCGATAAACATTGGCAGAAAAAATATTAAATACAAAGTAAAAAATGGTTTTCTACTCTTCATGCAATATAATAAGTAATTCCATTGCAAACCTGAAAAAAATTGCATAGATGAAAGAAATCCAGAGAGAATAAATAAATGGTAAAGTTGGTGGTAGAGTTTCCAAACAAAGAAGAACTGAGAAATGAACTATGTAGTCTGGAATCATAGCAACTTAGAAGAGAATACATTTGACATTTAGAAGCATACAGAAAGCATGAACATGAGATTATTCAACAAATTCTTTAATTCTAGAACTAAACCACTTGAAACTCAGAAGTTATATACTTTTAAAAAAGTGTGTGAAGACAAAAGACAACACTGCTTGATATAACGAGTAATAAAGAGTAAAGAGTAGAATTTATTAATCCTAACAGTAGAATAATTATAAATGTAAAGAGATTCAAAATAGTTTTGGTAGATTTATTTATTATGAATTCATGTTTATCATTAAGTAAAGCTAAAGATATTTTGCATACATTTGTCTCTTGCAGATAATCTCATTTACTATAGGCATTTATGTAGGCTTCAGGGACCTGTGAACCCCTTGGGATTATACAGTATTTGATATGTATGTTCATCTATGTATTTTTCTGTGGAGAGGATCAATGATTGGTCTATAATTTTCATCAGGTTTTCATAGGGATTTATGACGGACTGTCTCTCATCTCCTAATACTGCTCCCCATATATACACATACAAGTTAAGATCTGTGGATGTAAGACAAATAGGCTATATAATATGAGATAAAGTATGTGGCTTGAGTCCCTGACTTCATCATTTATTGACTTCATTACTTTAGAGGAGTTCCCCATTAGTAAAAGGTGGGCAAAATGTGCAACCCAAAATTTTGTTGTGAAGATTAAAATTGATAGTATATTGTAATGAAAAAAATCACTTCATAAACACTAAGACAGAGGTTATAGATTAATAGCATATAAGCTGAACTTGACTTTAGAAATGCTTTATTTGGTCCACACCATTGTTGTTTTATCTTGAGTTAGTTGCAAATACCTAACATTCAGGACCTTTTATATAAAAATCTAGGTTTTCAGCTTATCTTTAAAAATGATAAACTGGTAACATTGAGCCCATATCTTCTCTTGGCAGCAGTTAGGTGAAGCAGTGTTGTGAGATTGGGCTTATTCATCCTCGATGTCACTATGATTCCCACTGGTCACCTTGACTGCCTGGGTTACCTTGCTGGCCTATCTAAAGCATCATTTAGCTGTAGTTAGATGACAACCATACCTTCCAGTATTTCCCTTTGTGTCACTGTGAGAAAAATATTAGAAGTCAGAGGGCCATAGTTTTATTCTGGGATGTCATTTCTAAGGTTTTAAATATTTATCATAGAAAATTCTTTATTGCCAAATATTAATAATGGATGCTGTCTATGAGAACAGAAGTATACTAGTGAAAAGTACAAAAGGAAAATGGCAGTCTACCCTAAAGAGATTGAGAGTTTTGAAGTAGAGGTGAATCTGAACCACAGAAAATAATTAGAAAACAAGCATTTTACACATAATTTAACACCTTATATATACTTAAAATAAGTTTAGAAGTGATTCAGAGAAGAGTGAACAATATGAACCTGAATGAACTACAAGATTTCTTGTATATCTATTACATTAAAGGCACTGTGCTAGAGCCACTATCTGGAGAAATTAAAGTATGAGTACTGTGCTTTAAAAAATTACAATCTAATAGGATATGTCCACGAAAAAGTAAATAATAGGCCAGGCACCGTGCCTCATGCCTGTAATCCCGGCACTTTGGGAGGCTGAGGAGGGTGGATCATGAAGTCTGGAATTAAAGACCAGCCTGGTCAAGATGGTGAAACCCTGTCTCTACTGAAAATACAAACATTAGCCAGGCGTGGTGGCGGGCGCCTGTAATCCAGCTTCTTGGAAGGCTGAGACAGAGAATTGCTTGAACCCAGGAGGCGGAGATTGCAGTGAGCCGAGATCACGCCACTGCATTCCAGCCTGGGTGACAGAGCAAGACTCCCTCAGGAAAAGAAAAAAAAAAAAAATGCTGGGCGCGGTGACTCACACCTGTAATCCCAGCACTTTGGGAGGCCAAGGCGGGCGGATCACGAGGTCAGGAGTTCCAGACCAGCCTGACCAACATGGAGAAATCCTGTTTCTACTAAAAATATAAAAATTAACGGCCTGTGGTGGCGCGTGCCTGTAGTCCCAGCTACTCAGGAGGCTGAGGCAGGAGAGTCGCTTGAACCAGGGAGGCGGAGATTGCAGTGAGCCGAGATCGCGCCACTGCATTCCAGCCTGGGTGACAGAGCAAGACTCCCTCAGGAAAAAAAAAAAAAAAAAAAAGGGGGGGGCGGTAAATAATATCAGGTAGGTAGTTTATGTTAGGTTTTAATTAATGGTTTAGTAAATGCTACGGGAATGGAGAAGAAATTAAGATTCTGGATAGTACGGAAAGAACTGTACCCTGAAATGACTTCAGAGAAGGGGAGACTTTGAAATAGGATTCAAATTCTAAGAGAGCAAAAGGATAGAGAAAAGCAGAAGGGCAGACCATAAGGTATTCCAGTAGTTTAGCTGATTGAAAACTAGCTTGTCCACAGCAAGAATGGAAGGGGATGGCTTTGAAAAATATTAAAAATTGCTTGAACCCAGGAGGCGGAGATTGCAGTGAGCCGAGATCACGCCACTGCATTCCAGCCTGGGTGACAGAGCAAGACTCCCTCAGGAAAAGAAAAAAAAAAAAAATGCTGGGCGCGGTGACTCACACCTGTAATCCCAGCACTTTGGGAGGCCAAGGCGGGCGGATCACGAGGTCAGGAGTTCCAGACCAGCCTGACCAACATGGTGAAACCGTCTCTACTAAAAATACAAAAATTAGCCGGCTGTGGTGGCCCGCGATCTAAGAGAACAAAAGGATAGAGAAAAGCAGAAGGGCAGACCATAAGGTATTCCAGTAGTTTAGCTGATTGAAAACTAGCTTGTCCACAGCAAGAATGGAAGGGGATGGCTTTGAAAAATATTAAAGAAGATGTAATAATTAGATGTAAATGATGAAGTACATAGAGGAATATTTAGAGTAATATTTAGATTGATGAGCAGAACTTTGAAGAACAGTTAAAATTAGAAAGTTGAGGACCGCCGGGCACGGTGGCTCCCGCCTGTAATCCCAGCAGTTTGGGAGGCCAAGGCAGGCGGATCACCTGAGGTCGGGAGTTCAATTCCAGCCTGACCAATTTGGTGAAACCCCATCTCTACTAAAAATATAAAAATTAGTCGGGCTGTGGTGGCGCGGGCTTGTAATCTCAGCTACTCAGGAAGCTGAGGCAGGAGAATCACTTGAACCCAGGAGGCCCCCCGCGCCCGGCCTAGGCGACAGAGGGAGACCCTGTCCAAAAAAAAAAAAAAAGAAAGAAAGAAAGAGAGAGAGAAGAGAAGAGAAGAGAAAAGAAAGAAAATTGAGGACCAGCCAGGCGCAGTGGCTCATGCCTGTAGTCCCAGCACTTTGGGAGGCTGAAAAGGGTGGAACATTTGAGGCCAGGAATTCAAGACCAGCCTGACCAACATGGTGAAACCCCGTGTTTACTAAAAATACAAAAAATTAGGCCGGTCACTCATGCTTGTACAGACTCATGCCTGTAATCCCAGCACTTTGAGAGGTCGAGGCGGGCGGATCACAAGGTCAGGAGTTTGAGACCAGCCAGACCAACATGGTGAAACCGTCTCTACTAAAAATACAAAAATTAGCCGGCTGTGGTGGCCCGCGACTGTAATCCCAGCTACTCAGGAGGCTGAGGCAGAAGAATCGCTTGAACCTGGGAGGCGGAGGTTGCAGTGAGCTGAGATCACACCACTGCACTCCAGTCTAGGAGACAGAGAGACTCCGTCTCAGAAAAAAACAAAAAGCAAAATATCCGGGGGTGGTGGTGCGTGCCTGTAATCCCAGCTATTCAGGAAATTGAGGCAGGAGGACCGCTTGAACCTGGGAGACAGAGGTGCAGTGAGCCGAGATCTAGCCACTGCACTCCAGCATGCAGGACAGAATGAGCCTCTGTCTCAAAAAAACAATAATAAATAAAGTTGGGGATCAACAAAGTCCACTAGTATGGGCACCCACATAGGCCATGATGATAACTTATTTATAAATAGTGAAAGCTTTTATGAGGCAGTTACTTCATTTCTACTGTATATATCCATATAAAATGACTTTGGTTATTATTTCAGATTCACAAATGGTATTTGCTAGCCCAAACTAAACTTTTTTTCTCTCTTTGCTGACATTTATATATCTTGGCCAGCCTTTCATCTTTCTATTCTAACTGGGTTTTGTAGTTCTTTTTTCTAGCTTTAGAAAACAGTTGCATCATCTTGGGCAAGGAACTTAATTTTTTCCACCCTCACTTCCCTTATCTGTAAGATAGGGGTATTCACTACTCTTCAGGATTGGTGTGAAGTTTCAAAGTAAACATCATCAGGAAAAACTTTTAAAATTGATGAGCATGTAATAGCTGTTACTATTGTTGTTTGGGTTCATATCTGTGTTCATTCTCTCAGATTTTCTGGCTTCTCTTCTACTTTATCCTTATGATACTTTCTCAAGTTCAGTTCTAATTTTTTTCTCCTCAATAGCACTGTCCTTTCAACAACTGACATTATTTAACACTTATTTCCCTGAGTCCAAACCCTCTTTCAAGCATCTAAAGCTTAACACTTTAATTATACCTTTCACTTTTCTCACCTTGCCACTACTAACAAACTCCTCAATTTATTTTCAGTCTGATCTTTATCCTTTGATTCTTCAGTTATACATTCTAGGGATACATTGTAAATCAAAACACTTTCACAGTTCATATTGCTTATGCTATTTTTATATCTGTATCTTAAAAGCTAGGAATAAGCATCAAGAAT